GAGTAGCCCAAGAGTTGGCGGTGGGAGGTGATGACTAGCTGCCTTCCCTCTAGTCTTACACTGCTAAATTAGGGACGGCTAGCGCAGATAGCCCTCGTGTAGCTTTGCGCGAAATTCAAATACAAACAAACTTATATAAAATTTACATGTTATTTACAATTACTTCCACGGTAAACGCTATAAGTTATATTGTACAATTACAGATGATTTACCTTTCATTTTAAAATAGGCAGTATGTTTTTTGTTGTTGTTGTTGTCCTTTTATGGTATGATTTATTTGATACGCCGTAAACTTTATAGGTGGTTAATCATTGTGTGGTACTATGCAAAGAAGATTTTTTCAACGATAAATAACTAACTAAACACTTCATTTGCTCATTTTTCTAAACATTTGACACCCAAAGTGAACTGCTCCTGATGTTTAATATTTTGCTTTTGATGTTTAGGGAGCGATTCCAGAATCACCGGACTGTCCCAGACTAATCACTAACAAAAACAAAAAAAAAAAAACATTTAATGGGTTCAGTTAGATCACTATGTAAAAATTTTTGGCTTGCTCACACCTTTTCGAATGAACCTTTACAAACATACATGCATTTACTACCACTGAAAAGTGAACATCACACAAGATACTTAAGTAACCAATAGCTACGACACAGCCTATATAGAGAATGACTTCATTTACACAATATAAATATAAAATAAATAATTATTATAAATTTTGAATGCAAGCAATCCGTAAACATACATTTTAAGACTTAAAGGTTTATCCGAGTTTTACATTTATCTGTGTTTAGAATTGGGTCTTCACCTTAATATGATTTCATTTACAATTGTGTTAAGCACTACTACTCACCGTTTCACATCTAAAAATTATTGGGTTTTACTGTATAACTTACGGTAATAGTTAACACATGTGAATGTCGTAAGCTCACGACATGGCACTATAAAAATGAGTGTAACCTTTATTCTCCTGAAGAAGAATAGTGAACTATTCGAAACCGCTCGAGCTTTGATTTTCGTTTTAAAACCATTACAACTTTTGTATGTGATTAAATTTAGCCAAAAGAAAACTAAATCAGCATCGATTCTTTTTGATGTATGGTTTATTACCATAACGTTCGCTCAAAGTAATTGTTTCTTGTTTACTATTTATACAGTAATATTATAACTGGGACAAAGATCACACAATTTCTGGTCACTAAGCAAACATAATTAACAATGGTAACGACAGCGTCAGAAAAAGAAAAGAAAAAAAGGCTTCCATGTTTATTCATTACTAATTCTTAAGCTTTTCTGTATACGACAGCACATCGGGAGGAGGGGGGGGGTCTATTTAGAACTTTCTGAAAGTTTCGACCGAAGCAAATGAGACGTATCCGGTTTAACTTGTTAATGAAGCGAGCTTATGATCTTTATCAATACTCCTGATGTTAAAAAAGGAATTTAAAATTCTCACTTGCTGCGTAACAACATCCCTAATAATAACACATAGTTTTAACGGCACAATCAGTTATACTTTACAGAATGAGTGATCGCTTTCAACATTTCCTGTAATCTCAGTTGTCGATACAATTCAGTGGAGACATAGAATACTAAGTATGAAATTGTGAAAGTTAGATAAGCACGTGCACTCGAGGAGAGCAGACAGAGTAGCCAGCCGTCTTTCACTTGAGAATATTAGCCGTATGTATGTTTGTTTGTTTTTGAATTTCGCGCAAAGCTACACGAGGGCTATCTGCGCTAATCGTCCCTAATTTAGCAGTGTAAGACTAGAGGGAAGGCAGCTAGTCATCACCACCCACCGCCAACTCTTGGGCTACACTTTTACCAACGAATAGTGGGACTGACCATCACATTATAACGCCCCCACGGCTGAAAGGGCGATCATGTTTGGTGTGACGGGGATTCGAACCCGCGACCCTCAGATTGCAAGTCGAGTGCCGTAACCACCTGACCTTGCCGGGCCAGCCGTATGTATCCTCCGTGTCTTCACATTTAATAATAGCAACATATTTCACATAACTTATATTATTATCCCTCCTTTTTCTCTCGTTCGTCAAAATATGAGTTTTGGGGCATGGTTTGTGATAATTATATTTTAATTTGAGTCTGCTAATAAGTTATTTTTACCAATTAATTTAAAATGAGATGAGGTTCATTTTAATTGAACCAAATAAAATCAATTTATAACTGTCACTAAGCATAATATACAATGATAGATTCTTTTTTTTTAATATTTTGTCGAAGGTAGATTCAAATAATGAATACAGCTGGCGCAAACTTATAGAAATCCTTCAAAAATAGGCTACAGATTATCATAGCTCGTGAACACTGTCAGAAGCGATTTAGCACATTAAGGTATATAATTTATGTATGCATAAACCGCTGGCGGTCAGTGAACCGATGTGATTCCGACATTGAAGGATGTGTCAGTCTTCGCCCTCCTTCCTTCGTAGTCGGTGAAAAGTTCATTCTCTTCATTAATGTGGATAGGTCTGATGAGGCGGGTCCTTAATTCTTGTTTAGAAATGGACGATGCTATAAATATGTCATGCGTATCTTACATAACTGGTTTCGTCTAGTTACAATATATCATTGTCTATTTTTCCTTAACATCTTGCAAGTATTTACTGTGATTTTTCCGAAAAAGTTTTTCACTTATCAACGTACATTCTTGTTTTAATTTGTCTTTTTAACTCTTGTTACACAAACTATTTCTCAGTAAATTGTTTGTTTATCAAATAATAGACAACAAATATGTGCCATCGTCAGTGATTTTGTTAGTCTTTATTTAAAACATTTGCACACAACTATTTTCATTTTGACGGTCTTCTTCATCTTACAAGTTGGTAGCCTATCTGAGCTAAAATGGAAATTATTAAATATATAAACTGAGTGTTAAGCTGCACTTTATTAGAACGATGCTCCAGTTCCTGTGCTTCTTTTGGAATAGCTTTTTTCTTCGTCGCTCATGCTCAGTCTGATCTTACACCATAAATACTGTCTTTCTACAGATCCATTATTGTACGTAAACGTCAGTTTCCAAGACTTAGTTTAAAAAAGCAAACCAAAGTCAGAAAAAAATTTACCTCTTAAAAATTATTCTTTACTTTGGCTATCCATTAGTTAATATAGCTATACGAATATCCTTTCTCGGAGAGAACTGTCTCTCTCCATTTAGACATCATCCACTCACTGTTCAATAGTAAGAATTTGACAAAACCACATATATAGATGTTAAACATGTCGCCCTGCGCCACTATATTAGCAGTTGGAAATCGTCCTTGTAAATGAACCATCTGTAGCATGAAATTTGTTTCAAATTCTACACCTAAAATGGATGGAAATCTCCGTTTCAGAATAATATGGTGATATGTATACACCAAAATTGAAAGAAAGAAGAAAAATCAAACACATTCATTCATGTAATGCCTTGAATTTAATGTCTGTAGCAACACTTTGCTTCCCCTAAAGGGAGCCGAAGGCCGCCTAGAGGGGTCACTTGTTTTAACCACTCGCACCACTATACATTAGTGTGTTGTGAGTAGACGCTAAAATGACGTCACATAAGGGACACTTATCATTGCAATTTGTAATGTCATGACGTCAGAAAAACATGAACATGCCATGAATCATGAGAAATATTATGCACTCTGTATGCTACAACACAGCACGACATATGAACTTCAAAAGCAAGAAATAAAAATATTTGTTACTCTTAATTTTGGTTTTATTTACTGTTAAAAGATAACACTTTCGGGGACCCTGCAGAAGTGCATATAGTAATTTACTTTGATTTTCTTCACAGTCTCGAGATGTTAATGTAGTATTATGGCTTGCACTTATAGATTTAGATGAGATTGTGAAAAATATACATAAGTAGCCCTGCCTTTCCATATGGCATTAAGTAAATATTAGTGTTCAAAATCCTTACAAAATTTTTTGATATGTTGGGACATAAAAAAAATTTATGAAACTACACTATACCAATTTAATCCAGTTCACAACGTTAGTTGTCAAGCAATTTACCAATATAAATATGATCACTACTTTAACTGTCGTAACCCTGCCGACCTGAAGAACGCTATTATTGGGAGAAACGCCTCGTCACAATTTTCTGTCACTTAGAAAGTTCTTATTAATAATACTTTTACGTAAACGTAACACGTTTAACCTCTAATGGTTATTTATAATAAATATGGAATGATGATCCATGCATTCGGTTGACTGCGATTATTCTTCTAAAAATGTAACTTATTATTCATTTAATTTCAAAGATGCAGAACCCATTGTAACGTTATTAACGTGAAATAATCTGAATTTATAGATAATCGATTTATCTATGGGAAATGCTCTTCATTTCCTTATGCTATATTGTAATAATTTGCTCAAGTTTATATGACCAAAAAGGTGATTATTTACTGTAATTACCTTTTTTTTTTCTTTTTTCAGCTGGCAACTGCTCAAGAAAATTCATTGTGGGCCAATGGAAAGCCAGAGTCAATGCCAAAGCTTGTCACGCTTGATGTTGTTTGTGGAAAAGACCATATGTCAGTCCATTTGGAATTCAGTGCGCCTTTTTATGGACACGTGTTTTCTAAAGGTCATTATGGACACGATAACTGTGTGTATGTGAAACCTCATTCAGGTCTAACGTACGTAGATTTTAACATATATTATGCTAATTGTGGAACTAAGCCAGATCTGAATGGAAAATTTTACGAAAACACCATCATCATCCAGTATGGGACGGACATCATAGAAGCATGGGATGAAGCCAAAAGACTACGATGCGAGTGGTATGATTCTTATGAAAAGGAGGCTAAGAAAGGGTTGCTCAAGATAGCCGAACTGGAAGTTGTAGAACTGGACTTTCAAGGAGATAACGTCGACTGTTGGATGGAAATTCAAGAAGGGAAAGGCCCGTGGTCTAACCAAGTTTCCGGCATCATACCAATAGGTAGTCCACTGACTATGGTCATCGCAATCAATGACTATGAAGGTCAGTTCGACATGAGAGTCAAGTCCTGCTATGCACATGACAGTATCAAGCCACCAGTTGCTTTAACAGATGAGTATGGGTGTGTCCTAAGACCTAAAATGTTAACCCCATTTCGTAAAGTTCGTGATTATAATGGACGTGCAACAGTGATATCTTATTCACATTTTAATGCATTTAAGTTCCCTGATACAGTTGCAGTGTACATTGAATGCTCAGTAGAAATATGTCGACATGGATGTCCTGACAGTTGTCAGAAGCTACCTTATCTTCCTTTGCCTTCTCACCTCAAACAGGCAACTAGCCTTCCTGATGAGGAATATGTACCATTGGAACAAAATATAGATAATGGTTATCATTCATCTGGAAATCCTCTAGACTCTTCCTACCCATTACCCAGGGATCCTCAAACCAAACCAGGACATCCAAATCCTGCAATATATTCTAACAACAAAGTACCCCTAAAACCAAATGTTGAAGAGCATGATCTACTCAAAAAGCCAAATGATAAAGAGCACAATTTACCGAGTAAACCTACTTATGAAGAAAAACATATAAATCAGCAACTGAGTTATGAAGCAGTCGAACTACAAGATTATAAAGATCACCATTTAGCTCAGAAACCGAATTACGAAACATACTACATACCTCAAGAATCAAACTATCAACAAAATCTTCCACCTCAAAAAACAATTCACACACAAGGCAATGCAGAAGTATATCATCAGGAAAAGTATTCTGGATCTCCAAATATCCCCAAAGATGAAAGTGGTGATTATGAGCCCATAGCAGAACCGGTTCCACAGCTTAAACCTATAAAATCTGGTCCTCAGTTGTCATTAGTTACACAACAAGGCTCTCCAGGTTATTATAACAGAGAAAAAGAAGTTCCCATATACCATGAATCTAGACCAAATTCCCAGTATGTACAGTCATCTCATGAGAACATTGGTTATGGTAATCAAAACAGACCACATGCTCAATCCTCTGCCTACAGGCCTCAAAGGATTCCACTGAAATCTCCCGTGGATCGTCCACCTTATCCTTATCCAGTCCCTCAGTTTCAACATCCCAGACAGCCCACTAATGGTGGAATGATGATGATGGGTCAGTTTGCTGATCGAGCAGATACAATTGATTCCACTGGATTTTCTGTGCAGGATTTTCAGTTTCCTCATGGGCCTCGTTCACTTCGTACTAGACGTGAAACTTCAGATGGTGAAGTTCTTGGAGTTCAGCAGATTTATCGTGCTTTGGCGTCGGTGGACTTAGCGTTTGAACCTAACGCGACTAGAGACAGTGCAGTTGTCTTTTCAGGCAGACGCGAAGAAATTGTCTATGGCGTATGCTTGCCACTGCCAGGGTTCATAGCTGGATTAAGTCTCCTATTGTTATTGACCGTCTGTTCGTTATGCATCACGGGGTATCTCTGGTATCACTGGCGACTCCAGGAAATGAAAAAAGACACTAAAACGAGTCTCACGGCGAAAATTTTCAACGGAAGGCTGTTTTATTATTATAGGAACCGCAAAGCTCATTACTAATTTACAGTAGTTAAAAAAGTAATTTAATCTTGACTATGATAATACGAAAAGGAATTTGAGAATGTTAAGGGCTCAGTTTATTTATTATAGCAAAATGTAGATAGTTACTTATTTATAAGCACGAGTTTTTACACACATACACATTATATATACGAATTAGTTATAAGCTCTCCATATAATCAATAGGACTTGACTTTATTTCTCAATCGCAAATTATTATATTAACAGTCTGAAATTGGTCATCTTTGAATGTGGAAAAATATATAATAATTAAAAATAACTAACGTGTATATTAATCCGTTAAGTAAAACTTAATTTTATTTCCAAGTATTTTAAGTATTCAAAGGGCTAAGGAAATCCGAGTTAAATGTTGTTTAAAACACACAAGGCTATTTCCTTTGCGAGTTTTATTATAGCAAGATGAAAGAAATATAATGATAAATTTAATATTCCCACTGAAAAAGCCCCCCCAGTGCAACAGTGGATATGTCTGCGGATTTACAACGCTAGAATCCGGGTTTCGATACCAGTGGTGGGCAGAGCACATATAACCCGTTGTGTTGCTTTGTGCTTAACTTCAAACAAATAAAGCACAGAATTAGCGTTGCGTGAAAAAGAAATCTACAAAAATACTTTAACTGATGTCGTTGAAATAATTCTGTATAACAAGAGCAACCAGAGAGAGATTGCATACCCTCGCCCCGCCGCCCCTTTTCGAGATTGCATGCGTATATATTGGATAACGTCAAATTTTACCTTCGAAAACTCAGAAAATCCTTCTCAGATCCAGAACGATCAACAATCCATATCAATTTTTGTAGTGTAGAGTCTCAACCTTAATGTGTCCATAAAATTTGATACAAATCCGATCACAGAGTTATTAACCCAAAACTGCGAAAATGCCGTATCTCTCCATTACAAAAAATGCTTCAAAGTGATCCAGACCAAATTTGGGGAAAACTGTCCCATACTGACTTCCCATCTTTTGTAAAATATTCGTATACACCGGTCTATTAGTCTATCGCGGAAACACAGACATACACACGTGCCCGATTACAATACCCTGACCCCCTCTGGGGACGAGAGTAATAACACATCAAAAACAACAAAATTACTCCCTCTGAAGAAAAACTGTGTATGTCAAATTTCTGACAACGAAAAACTCCCAAGAACATATTAAGCAATATATACATGTAAAGAGAACAGAAAGAATATAAGATATAGAACCACCATGGGTACAGACTACTGTTTATTCAATGTGTACAGGATGATTGGTTAGTGTTAATGCAAGTGCTCTATGATGAGTGAATCTTTTAATATGTTAAATTGATGTATTTGTAGTAACTATTTTTTATTATATGTTTACGTTTGGATATAATCAATAAAAGACTAAAATACAAAACTGGTATTGTGTTTTTACACTATTGACATGTAAGAATTGTAAAAATCGAAATACCTCAAGATCCCGGTCAGTCAGAAACACACCCAAAATTACTATTTTTTCGCCGAAAAAAAATTAATATTTCATAATCATACAAAACGCATAACACTGTCGTATGTAAATAATTCAGCTGTTTTGAAATCAATTTTATATTTTTGCGCGGCGTAAGTATGACCGAAGTTACGAGAAGGCCAGAATCATGCGAAGAACATAAATACAAAAAGAAAAGAAGTTATAAAAGCTGTGGAATGTATTTATATTGTGATCCTCCAGCTATATGTGCAGCAAAACATTGCCATGTTATTCCCAAAAGTAGACGTGGAGTAGTGCAAAAAATTCAAAAGCCATTAAAAAAGGAGAAGGAAGAGGCAGAGCAAGATGTTGTTATGGAAATGTGTGATGAAGAGAGTGTTTCGTTACAAGATTTGGACAATGAGATTGAAGACGTACTAGAAGAAAACTAGAAACATGTTTATTCTCACTTATTATGCATTGAAATTGTTTGTTTGTTTGTTTTTAATTATGCACAAAGCTACACAAGGGCTAT